GAGTGCATGTGGGGGGAGAAACTTTAAAATGGCAAGCCATAGATTAAATGATGGTATGATAAATTAAGCGCTACAGAAGGAAGATTATAATCGAACTAAAGTCATGTAGTAACAAGGCAGATTGCAAGTATACGTGATACTGCATTTTGAAAAAGAGAGAAGCGAACTGACCTGCCACTCCTCTTTGATGGAACAACTAATCCTCTTTTCTCCAAGCTCTTAAATCGATCCTTGACAACGGTACAACAGCCCTATTTTCAAAACAAAAGGCACAGAATATGAGCACGAGCATAAGCTTATGAATAATTAAACCAGAGTACCATAGATGCTCTCGGTAATGAAGTTCCGACGGTAAGTGACCAGAAACAGGAAGATAAATAAAAACCAAAAATACAAACCTTCAGCTGTCGAAGGGAACCGGTTTTTTCTTCAGATAATAGGACTTGGAGAGGAGCAGGCACAAATCTGAAACAAAGGATTTCGAGTCTAATTATGCTCAAATTAAAGAGCACTGGCAAAGCAAAACTAGAATAACAAATATAGCTAGATTATCCAAGTCCAGAAAGATTATGCCTCCCTTATTTGCTAGGACCTCACCTAAGATACATGTGTGTATAAATTTAAAGATGAATATTCATGCATCCAAACGTTCAGACAGGTTATAACAATTTTATAAAGATCCCTTTCACATAATTAATACAACTGCCAATCAGCAATGAACATTAAGGATACCCCAAGACTGTTAAATTTTAACCATATCTCATAAAATGCCATACTTGTGCTTTCCCAGGCGGGGTGGACAAGCTTTTAGGCGTTCCTTTTTAGCAACAATGCGACGGAGATGTCTCTTCCTTTTTTCTTCATCCTCTTTAGCTATTTCTTCAAGTAGATCCGGTAAGCTGTGTATCATTAGAAGCCATTAAAAAATTCACACACAAAAAAGGGGCGAAAATTAAGGAATATCTGCAGACATCAAGAGTACCAGTCAATCCCTTTAGAGAGTTTCTCCACCTTTTTGGCTTCTGTTTCAGCTCTCAATTGTTCCTTGCGTCTAATCCTCCGATTCATCTCAACTCGTGTTACCGATTTCGCTCTGTGAGGCATACACAATTTGGGGGAAGAAAAGGAAATCACATTTAAGATAACAACTGGCGTATTTCACATTACTTGCATATTTCAGAAAATAAACTAACAGGTTGTTTTAATCAAGCATATTATTTTATTTCCTCTAAAACAGAGCTTGGGACCATGAAGATGATATCGTGTAAATAATAATTTGGACCAAGTTTAAAACAAGATATGTGATGTAAAAAAGTATATGTAAATGACCAGGAAACGCCTAATCTAACCAATTAAACATAATGTGTGAGTAGTTTATTAAATTGTATGTTAATAAATTTGGATTATTGCCCCAGACCCAGAAACTTAAAGTCACCATTGTCAAATTAAAGATAACGCATTTTTGTTAGCTCACATAACAACCATGATTCAGATGCTGCAGAGAAGTACTCACAATACCTGTATCTAAGCAGGCAATTTTTCCCAGCAAATTATCGATGTTCCCATCGAAGTTGGGCTGACCAATAGAGTCACAAAACCACAATCATGAATCACAGTTTTTCTCTCCTAGTCACATATAATGTTAGAGTTTTTGGCCTACCCATGTAAATTTATGCCATGGTAACAGTTAGGTAATTACCAAAACTTTAAGCCCCTTCTGTTTGTGATGACTTGTGCTGCAAAAGCCAATTCTAAGAGGAGGAAAACCGTAAACCTGGTTATGTGGTATTGCTCCCATAGATTAAATAAACGTGAAATTCAGAAAATCCCAATCTAAGGGAAGGCTACCCAAAACATGAACTAATGAAATATTAAATAAATATACATAAAAGTGAATCAGCAGAGAGTACAGTTGCAAATGCTCAATTTATTAAAGAATTCCCAAATTCCATGAAAGTAAAAAGTGGTGCTCAATGAATAAAGATTTATTCCTAAAGAAGATTAAAAAAAAGGAATTAGTCAGGAAAATGAAAATAAGCAAATAAATGAACCAGACCTCTTCTCTGGATCTGCATCTCCATTGTCAATTAGATTTTCATTTTGATCATCCTCATCTTCCCCATCCGCATCAAGAAAATATTTCTGATAAAGTGGCAATCCATGCAAAGTGATGCCAAATGGACATTTCATAAGCAAAATAGTGACAGCAAATGGTGTGAGATGAACATGCTAATTACTAGAAAATTACTAGATATAAGGTGCAGACCTCTTCCTCGTCGATAACTTCTCCAGGAACAGTTACAGGAACAGGCTCAGGCCCCAATTCGTCTCGATAAATTTTCTCCATTTCATCTGCAACAGCAAGAGCCAATGCATCCTGGAATAACAACAGAGATCATAAGGTGCACGCAATATTCAATCAAAAAAACAGAAAGCCAAAATACAATAATTTAATATCAAAATGCCATTGAAAAATCAAATACAAAGAAGTAACCTGATGGCTTTCATGTGCAGGATTGAATGAGCATCCAGGAGGTTCAACTTCGACAGCAGGTATAATGGAAGGCTTTATTTTCTGTCCTCAATTATCAAAAGTTAATCCAGAGGAGACCGAAAGTGATAATTATTGAGTTGAAATGAAGTTTGCAAAATTTAACTTCTTTGAATTTCAACAGTAGTCAGCAATTTTATATGCCTCCGATTCTCTATAGTTAAATGTATACACAACCAACTTGACAATCAAATACGACTCCTCAATAGACACACAAAATATCTTTATTACTTTTTTTTTTTAATTGATGGTTCGCCTAGGATTTTAGTGAAGCGTAAACATCAACCTTAGATAATCTACAAGACATGCAAATAACGTAAAGTAGATAGGCATATATTATTTTACCTTTGTAATTTTGACTGCATCTTCACCTGCTAGAGTAAATTGACAAACTTTATCAGAAATGACATCTCACAATCAAAATCTTTAATTATATAACAACTTGGAAATAAATAACAGATAGGAGACCTTGACCATCCCATAAATCCACAGTTCTGGAACTCAATACACCTTCATCCTGAAGATTGATTCCGGATACATAAAATCAAAATCACGTTAGTAACTCGTCTCTATAAGCTCTCTGAAATATTTTTAGAACAGTTGCTAACCTTCTGACCATCATCATTTTTGTCATTAGTGGTTTTAGCAGCTTTAACGTTTTTCTTGGCTTTTTTCTTCTATAGAGGATGGAACTGGTTGAACAAAAGGGTTCCTTTGCAATAGACTGTCACAACGCAGTACTTTTTCTCTGCTTTTCTCAATCTTTCGCTTCACAGAAAGGTCTGCCAATATTAGCCCTCCACGCCTTCTTTTTTATGACATAATGTTTGACATTCTCTTACAACTCTTACAATGTACGAGTAGGTCCTACGTGAATAAAAAAGTCCAAAAAAGAAGTGTCCTCTTATTATGAGTTTCGGGTCAGCCATTAAGTCAAAAAAATTCGATCACCATATCGATGTTGTTCTAATTTTCTTGATCTAAACTTTTCATAAATATCATTTGAAAGTAATGTTAACATCCACCTTAACAATCATTTCTACCAATATACCAAGATAGTGGGCAATGTCAAATGGCAAACGCCCCACTTGATTTACTTGAGTCCATAAATCCCTAAGCATGTTTGAGTGAATTTTCCTTAAAAAATATTGAATAGTTTTGATGCCACTCTATAATGCTTCGATCTCTTCCACTAGTTTTTTTTTTTTTTTTTTTAATATTACATTTTTTTTTTAAACATAAAAATGTGGAAGACTAAAGGACAAAACAATAAAAAAGCCAATTAATTCTTTACAAAACCAAACAGTGGGATGAAAAGTGGGATTTGGGATTTGGGAAACCATTCGTCTATCCATTATTCATACAGTTGGTGCCATGACTGCGTAGTCCGTCCCTTACTGATTTAATCCATCATTCAACAGTTCAACGTTGCCGGCTTGGAATTTGGAAAAAAATTTCTTCTTGTTGACTAAATTTCCTTCCCTAACCTGGTAATCCACCTATTGAGTCTTGAGTATTGGCCAGCGATTGAAGCGGCTCAGCGGCTGTGAAGTGTGAAGTGCTGCCATTTAATTTCAGCCACCATCTGTCTATCTCCATTGGACCATTGCCACTACTGTCTACCGTCCGTCGACTCTAAATAGGTATTATTTTTTAAGGACCAGTTACTATTTAGTGCATGCATGAGTTTGTTGGCATTTTCCTTTGACCAAACAATTTTCGTGAAGTTTGATTGAAGCAGGGCGGATTTACATGGTAGGATGTGGGGCCAGTTGACCCCACACAATTTCTAAATTCCTTTTTCCTTTTTTTTTTTTTCACAAGTTTTTTTCATTATCATGTCTCCCATTCATTAATTTACCTCAAATACAGGTTTACAATCTTTATCAAATAATTATCTTTTTCTTTTTAACTTGTCTCCATTCTCCAACGACTTTTCCACTTTAAAAGAAAATATTTTAAACGAAAATCTCAATTTTTCAGAGAATTTAAATTTTTATTTCACAATGTAGAATTTCTAGCTCCGCCGTTACAACGAAGCATTTGAGTTCATAATTAAAATGCTCTACGAGGCAGATGAAATGGTGTTGTAAACGCCGTTGCCCTGTGCTGATTTTAATGGTAAATTGGTAATGTTGAGAATGGAGAAATTGTTGCCAAGAAAGAGTTTGTCTGTCACAACATTCTTCGAACATATACATAGGATATGTTTACTTTTTCAAACCCCGTATGGGTATTTTATTTTACTTGGAGAGACTGCTTGAGAAAATATAAACACTGATTTTATTTGGGTTTCAAATCTACATGGTCCATCAAACTCTTCGTATAGGTGTATGTCATATGCTATAGTTAAATTCTGAAGCCACGATGCTTTCAAAAGTTTCTTCCATTTCCATGAGAACCCCAAAATTATTCAACGTTTAGTTTCTGTGAGCCGTTATTGAAAATATACTTTAAACAAATACGTTATGTCCTTTAAGATGAAGTGGTTCATATCAGAGAAAATAAAAGGTCTTGCGTTAAAGTCTTGCTGTCATTCATTCACAAAAATTATGGATGTGTTCAAATATTGACAAACAACAGCAGCTTTGAGACTTGATTAGTTGTATATTTCATATTCTGAAGGATTTGCAAATGTTTGTATGTTGAAAAGGCGGGCCCTTGGGAGTTTTCCGAGTCATGCAGATAGTTAATAATTGAAAATAATTTACTAAGAATATTTGCACCATTGCTCTTAGAGGTCGACATCATGTCTTAATTTCCACAAATCTTGATTGTGCATTTCTGCATTTTGAAGTTCTCATAGAACAAATCATCTCCTGTGAAATATCGATTGACATTAAATTAACACTGGAATTTAGACCTTCTGATGTTGTTCATGGAAATTTAGACTTCTAAGAATCTAATGCCCACAAAACCTAAGGTTCCTCCACGAAGGGCAAACCACGACCTAAGATCAGAGTGAAATGATAGACAATGTATTACTTCTTTTGGGGATAGGTTAGATGAACGTTTATAGTCGGTTCTTGAACGTAAGGTGCACGTGAGTTGGCGTGTCAAAAATTAAGCCCCTATTGGTAACCATTCTTTCAAAACTCATTTTTCTCCCCCACACATTTTCATAATAAAATATTATTTACGTGAATTCAAAAATTTTTGCTACTTTTTAATCAAACATTTTTCAAAAAATTATTATTCAAAAACTAATTCTTCCCAAAAAAATAACCTTCAAACGGGCCTAAATTTAAATTAATAAACATCCATGTCTTATGTTTAACAATTTAAACTTTTTGACTAGAAAATTAACATTATCTAAATATGACAAGAATCAAGAAAGAACCAAAGTTAGAGCACAACTGAAAGGTATTGTTGAGTTGGCTTTGGCATATTATAAGTTGGCAGTCTGATTTTGTGTGGTTCAATTGTTCCAACCTGTGAATCTTTCTGGTCCTATAACATGTGAATAACAGGAGACAAGGACATTCGATCGTGTCGTGTGCAATACTCCATTAATATATTTTTCTTACACACAAATTTTCATGAGAATTAGTTTGTACAGCTCTACCCCGTGACATGAACTTAGCTTGTTGATTTTTTCTCATTTTTGAACGGTGCCAAAACGCTGCTATTTGTAGAAAATTATTTGTGTGATTCTAAAGTATGATAAATTAGCACTACCCAAATATTCGTTCCCATTGAATATGAAATAAACGGTGACCTTAAATTCACAGTTAATATATTATTTTTTGAAGAAATATGTCGATAAGTTATCTTTGTTTTGTTGGTCAGATATATGGTGGTGAAGAAAGGATTGTTATGTGATAGCTAAAATATTAAAATGTTATGTAATTAAACACAACTCTATAAGGAAGGAAACTTTATAGTATAAAAATACAAAGAAACAAGAAATGAATATGAAGAAGGAAAATCTAAACAAGTGAAAAATCACTCTTTCCTTAAGACAAAATTACCACACAATTGTGCTCACGGTTTTATGACACTTATCTCCCATGATACAAAAGGATTCAACTTGTAGTAGAAGCACTTTAAATCACAAGCTACTGCGAACTTTGAACGGAACCTCCTCTCTACAAGAAGAAATGATTTTGGAATGAATTTAAAGAGTTTTCCTACAATGCTCAATGCAAAAGTGATATGAGATGCATAATGGATGTTCAAAGGGTCATAATTATAAATAATGAAGGGTTGTGGGTGAATTGTTGGGTACCAAACCTTGCAACTTTACGAACAGAAACATCATTGCTATATGTGATTGACCTCTTGCTCGAGCGCCAATTTCAAAATTTGAACAAAATATTTTTCGCTTGCTTAACGCTAGTTTGTCGCTCAAGCGACGGAGTTAGGCAAAATCCAAGCCAGTTTTTCTTTATTTTTTTTCAAAAATAGACCACAATTTCTCATTAATCCGGAATTGGTTTTAAGCTTCCAAATATACCACGATAATCTACTTAATGAGTAGAACAAATTAGTTATTTATATTTGTAATTTAACTATCGGATCAAATTCGAATATTTGGTTGAAGCTGACATGAAAGTCACTTTCCACTTTTATAATTAATCAAATTTTCTCAATTTTAAACCAATTTCCAACATGTTTGTGGTGCTTTTGGTCCATAGATGGAGCTTTGTTTGTACTATAGTTTATATACATGTGAAATTGACCCGGTAGAATTCTAGATCACTGGGTTACTCATTCATTCGGTGGGTCGCTCGTCAAATAAATGAGTCAATACTTGAAATCCCATGTAAACTAATTGTTTTAAATTGTTTGTCAATTAACTTTTCATGCCTACACACTACGCGTATTGTATACTATTTTTGGTAAAATAATATCTAAATATTTTTTAGTCTTGTAATATGATATGCCAATAGAAATATTTTGATATTTCATCCGTGTACATCGAAGGGAAAATACTAGATGAATCGAGTTCTTTATATAATTACGATTATAATATTTATGGAGCCAATATATAATAACTAGCATATGTAGCTCAACGTTTTATAGAAAGTTTCTTGAAAACGGCTTGTTTGATTGGTTTCAATGCGTTTGATTCGGGTTTTCAAGTCGACCTACCTTGCCAGATTGTAAAATACTGGTTTGTACGAAACGGGTAGTTCTCTCTTGCCCTAGTATATGATATTGTTCTTAACACGTCTCCTTATCACATATCTCGTATAAAGTGAAACCTTTTTTTTATCCTGTATCCATATTCTATACTAGTGGTGCAGAATTAGAGGATCTCGGAAATTCTTATCCTGTTACAATGCCTACTTTCTTAGTGAAATGGTAAAGGCAAATATGTATAGCTGTCTTAGTTCCAGGATTCTTGCACGCACGGGTATACTTTTCTACAGTTAAGCTGGGGCTCTTACAGAGGAGAGATTTTGTCGGTTTGTGCAGTAAAAATTTCACAAGCAATTACAACAGGGAAATTATTGTTCTTATATATCGAATTAACAAAATCGATTAATTTAATTCTTGAAAATCTCGTCTATCTTCATTCATATAACTTAATGGTATAAAGAGCGACACGGGTTCGGACCTACAATATATTTACGAGTAGAATGCCGATGAATCGGAAAAAAAAAATAATTTTAAAAAAACTCTATACCAACTTCTTAGATAGGTTTTATTAAAAGTGAAATACCATAGATGTCAAAAGTATATTATTACTAATATCAATTATCATCACATATTCGTTCTCACTCATTCTCTAGCTAATTTTCTTCTCACTTTATGCATAAAATAATAATTAATTTTGGATTTGTAATTGTGACATTTGCATGTGAATGTACTTTCCCGAAGAGCAACTCACGTGACCAATTCTCGACGAATCCAATATTCAACTACTATTCTTTACAAAGACAGAATTCATAATGTAAAGGATTTATGTGTTTGAGAGTCAATACTCTATATATGTACTGACCATAGAAAGACAAAGGATAATAAAAGAAGGGATGTAGATTTAACATTCAATGCAATGGCTATTGTATTCATTTCAAGTTCAACCAAATATGACTTTACTGTAGAAGTTTTTGTCATTAAAAGTGAAATTTCTTATAATATACTTCTTACCTATGTATCGGATGAGTGGATGTAATTCAATGCATCCAAAAGAATTACATATCGAATTTTTATGATTATGATCAAAGAAACTCATTATATTAGACTATATTTGAAATGAATTTAGAAGATTGAAAAAACACTCTTTGTTTTAATATCTCTATCCCAATAAGAATGGAAGCAAACCTTATCAACCTTGGTCGTCTTACGCCGTAAAAAGTCTTCTCGACTACAAATTGGAACACGAAATATTCATCTATTTGTTCTCATCTTTCAAAACTCCATACCACAAGCCAAAAACTTAAAAAGAGTAGATGCAGTCTAAAAAAATTGAGACTCAGCTATATATATAATTTGAAGTATATTAATTATAAATAAGGGTCTCACATTGGTTGAATTTATAAATGCTGACCATTGACTACTCTTAATCTCGTATGTCTTCATTAAATAAAAATTCATTTTTTTTCTCAAATTTATTTTTAACTACACATTTGCACAACAATATATTTTTTACGTAAATCTAAAACTTTTTTTTTCTATTTTTTAACCACACATTCTCCAAAAAAATTATTATTGAAAAACTCATTCCCCCCCCCCCCCCCCCCAACTCTCTCTCTCTCTCTCTCACACACACACACACACATTTTGTTCATTTTTCCCTCTCAATTCTATTTCTCCTTTAATTCAATTTTCTATTCAGCTCATCTAGCTGAAGTAATCTCCATTGTTGATCGGTTGTGGTGTTGAGCTACATAATTGAGGTTCTTCTTAATATGTGTATTTTGTACACTTATCTAGGCCAATAAAGTCAAGAGAGCACAATAAAAATACTCAAAGGCTAGCTTGATGCCTTGAATCATTAAGCACTTTTTCTTTAGTACAATAATTGTTAGCTAAAAAACATACAAACTTACTAAGTCATCACCATGCAAAACATGCATGTTGGTAAAGGCCAATCAAAGGCATGGAACCACCAACTTTTTCAAGTCATGCTTATTAAATATGAAGATTAATTATCATATACAAACCTAATTAATTAATCAATTAAGAACCATATAAATAAATATTTGATGGAATGACGAGACAAGGTTGATGCAGTGTAATGTATGGAGTGTATTGTTTTGTTGTAATGATTAAAGAGGGGAACATGTGAGGGGGGTACGTACATGATTTGTCTTCGAGGAACGAAGACAATGTCTCAAGCAAGGAATTATGCCAACTTACAATACCCAACTGTTTATACATACTGATAAGGTCTCGTGATACACAGCCCAGTTTGGTTTGTATTAAAATAAAATTTTTAGTAAATTTTTATAATAATTATAAAATATGTAGTTGAAAAGTTGTAAATATCGTAAAATATATGATTAAAGTTAATTGTTTATTTTGACTTAAAATTTAAATATTTTGATCTATACCAAACAGGGGATATATTGTCACCAATAAATTTACTGCTCATTTGTTTGGTAAGACACACTAGATATAGAGAGAGTACTAGACAATTATAAACAAGAAAACAACTTAACATTCATCTATTTTATTATTGTGGACAAAGTATTGAACATGCCTAAGTGTGCTCCGTGAAAGACTATATTTGTTAATTACCACCCTATATATATATATATATATAGATATATATATATATATATATATATATATATATATATATATCTGTGAAGGTCAATTAGATACATGAAGTGTAAGTTAGAGATTCATTATAATTCAATTTTATTGCCGTTTCTAATTTTATTCTGAAGTACTTCTAAACTTGCAATTGTAAGCTGTAGAATCGCCATAAACTCGACTAGTTTGAAATTCGTTTAGACTATAAGGTATGAAACAAACGTACATGCAACAAAGAGTAACTTTTAATAGTTTGAAGCATATTATTTTGGTTAAAGCTTCTTTCATTCTCGACTCTCACGTCTCATTCAAAATTATACCTTCAAAGCTAAATCTCATTGAGCAATAGCAGTTACACCGTAAACTTGGAATAAATACCAAGAAATGCCTCACTCCTATGAATCTTGAGGTTATTATTTCAACTTTATTTATATGCTATACTTTGAAGTCTTCTCCCTAGCTAAATTGTACTCCTAGTCTTTTTGACTTGTCAAGTTTGTCTAGCTCTTTTTTTTTATCGTCGCGCGCTACGTTTACTCCTAATTTAGTACTTAACTTTTATACATAATGAGTTAATACTCCATCCTCATAGTGGTTGTAAAAAATTCTAGTACGAACTTATTTTCCAACACCAACTCTTTAATATTTACAGTCATTGGGTGACCTAGATTTTACTATGGTCCATAAATAAAAATATAAATATGGAAAGGTAGATATTCAGTGAAAAGAGGAGTGAGTTTAATACTTCATATTGAAGAAGGTTGATGGAAGATAGCACGTGTAGAAAGAGAGAGGAAAAGAGAAGACAAAGGTGATGGCTGTTTTTGAGAGGAGCTCCAAATTCCCCGTGAGGAGCATTTGGAGGCTTCTCAATATTTTCACAAATTAAACATTTTATTTTGACGCATTCCTTCACTTGTTTCGATAATATAGTGTATACAAACAAATATATGCCCATAATAATTCATATAAGTTTCCCCCTTCCAATCCAAACCATGATCACGAGCTCATCATATATTCATTTCCCTCTCTCCCTCCCTCTCTTTATTTTATTTTTTTACTATGTTAGACTGTCAATTAATGTCCTTTCTACTTGCTTTTACCATTCTATCCATAATGATGAATATCTCAATTTATAATAGGTTTAAGAGAAGGCTCGACCGGACGTCTAACTAAAGTGACACAAAATTAATTTGATAAGTTTGGAGACGGAGAGTGGTACTTTATAAGTTAAAGAATTACACTTCATGTACTCTAGTAAATACTCGTCATTATAGTCGGCTGAAGTGTTTTTTCGGCTCATGATTAGTGTGACAGCGGCTTATACTCGTTATTATGTTGTATTTTATGACTTAAAATTGACAGTTAAGTTTAAATTTTAAATATTTAATTAAAAAATAAGTTTTGTTTAATTCCATTTCTAGGCATCTTACCAAAATGAATTAATGAAAATAATCACTTTTGTATTTCACATAAGATAACTATTAGGTCCATCTAAACTTCCCAACTGAATCGATGTCACCTCTTTAATACGCTCCTCTTCATCCACCATCGCAACATATACTTCATATTATTACCAACTCTGTAAAAACCAAAATATGAAGTTAAAGAAAGGGCAACCTAGTAGTTTCACAAGATTTATCCTAGTATTCCAAGTAGCGTAATTCGATATCTTTTGATAGGAAACGGACGCCCGCGTGTCATGTGGGAAGCAAACAAGAGATGATATTGATTTGAGAGGAGCATCTCCTCTTTAAAAGGCTGTATCTTCAGAACTTACAGAAGGTAATACAAAGAAGAATAGATAGGGAGCAAAAACGCAGAGATAGAGAGAGAGAAATAGAGAGGAAGAATTAATCTGTAAAAAGAGAGGTGGAATTGGAAACCATGGATTCTAGAGAGCCCAAGAGAGAATCACTGCATGATAAGCTACAGCTTCTTCGTTCCATCACTAATTCTCATGCAGTAAATTCACTGAACTTTTTTCAGCCATTACTTGGTTCTCTTCCACCAATTTGAGCACCTATATATAATCAGATTATCATCTGATGAAACCCTTATATATATTTGTTGTCAATAGCTACTCTCTACATTTTTCATCCTTTTTCAAAAAATTGTTTTCAATTTTTCTCGAAAATTACTTTTTTAATTAAGGTTCTTTCCCTCTATCCATATGTCGTATTGAATACATTATTGGTTTTCATTTTGATGAATCCCAGCATATTTCAATTAACTATGAAGAAACAAGTACAGAAATTAATAACGATTGAAATTTTATAATTTAGACTTTATTGAGATATTTTGTTTATGTATGTCAGATTAATGATACATCAATCATAGTAGATGCATCAAATTATATAAAAGAGTTAAAGCAGAAAGTTGAAAGACTGAATAAAGATGTAGCAAACACGAGCAACCAGAATTCATGGCCTGTAATACTCTGAAACTTTTCTTGTTTCTACTTACTTTTACCTAGCTAGAAGAAAATTATGAGCTTTTTATTTATTTTTATTTTTATTTTTTTGACATGTTTTACGTGCAGCAAGTTACCGTGAAAACCCTAGAAAAGGGCTTCTTAGTGAATGTTTATTCAGCAAAAAGTTGCTCTGGATTGCTTGTTTCCTTATTGGAAGCTTTTGAGGAGCTTGGTCTCAGTGTTCTTGAAGCTAGGGTTTCTTGTAAAGACACCTTTCATTTACAGGCATTTGGAGGAGGAGAAGTAAGAATTTTTCGATTTCATTACATTTAAATTTTAATTTTAATTTTAAAACGCATGAATACATCGTAAAAGACACTTTTTTTATGAATAAAATCGAACACCCTTTATTGATCAATGTCTTGATTTCACAGAATGAAGAAGATGAAGAAAACTACATCAATGCCCAAATGGTGAAACAAACAATTTCAGATGCCATCAAGAACTGGAATGGAAGCAATGAACAAGACTGATCAGAGACATATGCTGTTATATATATTTATCTTTCTTAGCATTTCCTTTGAATTTTCCTTTCATTTAGTTTAATCAAAGGAATCAAATAGTTTTCTAAAATGTTAATAGGCCATGATCGAATTGTGATAAAACTCAAAAAACATTTTGAGAAATTAATGATCAATCTACATTTTTCTTGATTTTGCTTTGATGTAAGTCGAACAAATCTCGCTACTAGATGATGATTCCATATGTCTAAATATAGGGTAAAACATGGCAAGATGTGTGCTTTATTGCAGCCGAAGTTTGGCGACTAGTTGATATTTGATACAAAAGTTAATTTCCTAGTTAAATGCTTTTTCGTACGTTATAATATAATTATTGTAAAATATGACATAAAGTTAGTTTATATAATCCAAGAAACTAGGAATTTTACGCACCTTCAAAAGGCATTCTTTTGAAAGGAAATGTTGTTCCAACTTTTGTCTGTTGTGAGTAAAAGAGAATTTAATAGTGTGTGATATGGCATGCATATGGCTATGGCACCTTCTCGGTCCCGAAAATTTAGAGGCTCTAGGTTTTTAATTATTATGGGGCCTCTCAACACAAAATTTATATTACAAGTCTAACAATATGTAAATATTTAAATAATTAACATTTTTATATTAGAAAGAAAACTTTATATAATTCAAAAGATAGAATAGTAAAATAAATCTTCTTTCACAACCCAAAAGATTAGGTGGTTCATTTTCCACTTTTATGTGCCAAATATTTATTATTTTTTTTTTATTTTTAAAATTTTTTTTGGAGAGATGGGCTGTTTTGGAATTTTCAAGAGGCCCCCTATAATATGAGGCCCAAGGCAAGTGGGCCAGGGCTGACACTGCCGGTTTTAATGCACACTTGTTAACGAGAGAGAATAAAATGATCTTGACATAGAAGGATGGTATCAATAAGAATTTCTAACATTTGTATTTGATAGTTGATGATATATATGATAGGAAATATTTTGGGTGAGGATTCCTCGTCAAAGTTGTGTTTTTATACCATGATAGAAATTGCATACTTTTATTGCTTGAATGAGTTGAGTACAAGTACAAATGTACAATTTGAACCGATATAGAGTTCGATATATCCTATTAAGACTAAGATTATTTAAATAATTCGAATTGAATTAGAACTAAGATTTATCTTTATCTTTAACAATATATGCGGCAAGGTTTCATAAATATTGGACCAAAATTTGAAGCACCATTGAATATGAAGTTCATGAGATTCTACCAATCAAAAGCATTAGTCCAACATGCTAAGGTAATGAGTGTAGTTTCTAGCAATATTATTATAATTAAATGCAAATGTTATAAAAATATGATAATAAAAAGCGTACTTGGATTTCGAATCTCCTTATATCAATCCCTTTTAACTTGAAATTTATAAATTTGACAACATGATTCAATTATGGAAATTAATATTCCTAATTTGTTTAATAATTTCTCTCGAATAGAATTAAACATATTTTTATATGTGACCCGACCATACTTTTATGATAGATATGAACATATAAAAATGTATTAAATATTTATGAATACTTAAAGATCGTGTAAAGTATAGCGGTATATTTAGATTTTCTATCGGACTCTACAATAATTAACATCATGTCTAACTTATTTTTCATCTCTCGAGGGTAAAACAAATCACAAAATTCATACAATTATTGCTCATATAATTGTAGAGAAAATTAAATTTATGTCCATCATTTAATAATTGAAAACATGTTTTTAACATAAAAACTAAATAAAATTCAAAAGTTAAAAGTTCATCGAAAATTCTAGCACAAAATAATTTAACCGAGCATAATGTTAGAATTAAACAAAGAAAAGTAAAAATATATTACCATAAATCGACCAATGTGATTAATTCCTCTATTTCTTGTTGTTGCCGTTTTCTTTCCCCTTTTTAATCTTCAACCGCGGTTTGATTTTAATTTTCAGCAGTTGTTTAATTGTACATGTATGACTCGAATAATTCTAGCTGTACAAACTAGTGTTTCATAGGGTGTATACAAGCTAGACACATGCCGAGGTGGGTGGGCTGGGGAGGATGATTATTTAAAAAAAAAAAATTCACCCACCCCTTTACACGTGTGAGTGGCTTGTACAGCCGGCTTGGTTCGTGTGACTCTCCACCCTTTGCGTGTATATATATACACACACACTCCATCAACCGCAATTAGTTGGAGTCCAATTAGAAGTTAATTTAATTATGCAATTTGTTTCCAGTTCCAGGTATCATTGAGGCCCAATTAAAGGGTGTGCGTATAACTCCTTTTTAGTCTCCAAAACCAGCCAACTTTGGGCCAATTGTAATTCCTGCACAGCCCCCAACTTGTGGGGAAAAAATTCCAGCCTAAGTAACCTTATTCTCCTCCTCAAATTGGTTTTAATTCCATTTCAATCATACAATTTTCCAAGGAAAGAGTTCACAATTCAGGATTTAAGTATGCATAGTTCAAAATTCAGGTAATAAGTTTCATTAATGCAAAAATCATATTTTAGTTAATTAATTAAAAATATTTATTAAATAATGATAATAAACTCATAGTTATACGATTAATGGTCACATATTTATTTACTGATCACATATCATCAAATTAATTGATCACAAATTTTTTCAAGGTCACAAATCAAAATTTTGATAGGTCACATATTATTTTGAGGTCACGAATCAAAATATTATGTGTCACAAATGATCACAAATCCAAAAAATTATAGATCACGGGTAACATATTTTTAAATTTGATTGTCACATATTACTTCTTTAATCACAAAATGATTGAATTTCAAGGTCACAGATTGATGGTCAGTCACGGGGGACCAAATGGTTGGTCACAGGCACCAAACACCCGACTTTGGTGGTCACTTCTAACACTTTGTGACCACCCCTCTCCACTGCCTCCACCAGTTGCACAGTAGCCAACACTACTGCCACCACCACATCTTGACAAAAACAAACCAACACGTACCACCAAAATCGCCACCACGACGGCACCAACCAAACAACATAAATAATTGGTTACAACCACTACCGACACCATTGCAATCAGGCACCAACTTACCATCACTGTAGCAACATCGTCGCTAGCACTTGAACCACCAACAATTCAACCACGACACCGACACTACCACCAGCCCTTCATCTCTAACACACTACAACCACAATCCTTACCCAAAAAATCCTCAAAGCCATAACTACGTCACCAGCAGGAAACATCACCACTTCCACCGTCCACGTCGCCACCAACAATAGATACATCACTACATCACACCACAATCCACCACCCATGACTCAACAAAATAACACAAATCTGCCATGTCAAATCCATCTCCATCCATGTCGTCACCATCATCATATCCACGCAAAAGACAAGCAAATGTAATAGCGTCGGCGAGACCACGAATCATCGCAATCTATGATCGACGAAACCACGGGTCCACGTGCAGAGGCATCGACATTGGGGTTGAGCGAAGGGCCAGTTGCACCTCTGATGCGGTGCCTTGGAAGCGCCGATTGCGCTAAGCACCGATTGCTCCTCTGCGTCGCTAGAGTTTCGGGGAAGAGAGATAGACAGGGAGAGAGATTGTGGGTGGGAGGGGAGGGAGAGAGAGTTGGGCAAATGAATGAATTAGGTTTTATCTTTTTTATACCTGATTTATGCACAACGATACTTCACCCCTGATGTTTGAAATCTAATTTTTAAACATCTAAAATTTTGTAATTTTCCCATTTTCCAACATGCAAAGCCTAATCATTTGCCTTCCTTTTTAATTTGGTCTAAGCCCACTTGGTGCCATATTTCACTCCAAGGTTTCATCTTCCTCAAATAATGCAAGTTAATCCTTGAGTTCACTGGTTGTGCAACCAATGTCCTTCTCAAATTCTAACTTGGGGAATTTAAACCCAAAATTATAGATTCCATTCAATTTCATCATTCTTTATTTTTCAATTGCTTCGATCTAGTCCATTAAAAAAAACCAAATTAAATAGAAATCAATAATTGATGACATAAAAGTTTAGTAATATGATCTAAATAAGTGCACAAATTTGCACTTATCATGTTTCAAGGAATGCTATAAAACATTAAATTGCGTTCGATTGAACCTGAACTCGCTATTAAAGTAGTGGACCATGGTTTGACCTCGCAATCATTCAGACCAAACAAATAATTATGGTGTATACATTGTGTTATATTTTTATTTTGTATTTTTTGATAATTTTACTTATTATTGTAAACCCTTGTTTGAAATTAATTTTTTCAAAATCACACTTTGCCAACATATTCTTTAAAAATGGTGATTTATAACTTTTTTTCTTAAATTTTAACCACATATTTTCCTTACTTTTTAACCACATATTTTCCAATTAACACTTCTTAAAAATCAATTTCACACAAGGGCTAAAAGTTAAAAAAATAAAAAATAAAATACTATAGTGATGAAAATAATAAAAAAGAACATAAGTACAATTGATGCCCGTTTTAGTAATTGTATACATGCACAATTATAAATTATTTTAGGATAATTATATTATCACCACAAAATTTATTAAGTGCGCCACAATTTTTATTTTTTTCCTTAATTACTTAAATAGCCTTTAAGTAAATTTACATAATTGGGGTTAATGTACTTTTAATTAATCACCACATTATAACCGCACCACAAACCTAAACCTAATGTCTTCTTCTTCTTTTCTATAATTGCTAGTTTTGTTCCATGATACCACACGTAAGAATTCATCAATTTGTTTAATCATTTTTTATAATTTTTATTTTTTTCCAATTTGTTAGATCTTATAATGGTAAAATGCAACTCTTTTCGAAAACAACATGGAGAACATATACTCTAATTTGTTTAATCATTCTTTATAAAAAAAAAATTCTAATTCATTATCTGTGAAGTGAGTAGCAGTATATATAGCTACTTGACAAAAAGTTAAGAATGATGCAGACCGAAAAAAAAGTGAAGCGAAAAAAAACATTTCGGCGATGTAATAATTTATAAAATCAGCAAGAGAATCAAAATAGTCAGGTTGTACTATACAAAATTAATTATATTTATGAAATCTTCACTCATCAAAATGAATAAATACACATATAGAAAACCAGGTATATAATAATTTGTATCGAGAAAGGACGACAGAAATTAAAAGTTCATC